AGTAGTGATGTTGAAGCTTTTAAATAGATTTAGAGAGGAGTGTGAACTTCCAAATTCTCTATAATCCCAATTCATCTAAGGAGTATCAATAAACAAGAAACTACTTCTACCCAACACTGATGAGCCAAGAGACACAGAAGCATGTGACTATACCCCTTCTGTCACTGCCAGAGCAAATACAAAAAATAATCAAACATATTGGCGTCTGTGGCTTATAAAACAGAGATGGGATCCACACATAATAGTGCAGACACAATAAAATGCAAGAATGAAAGACACAGAAGATAAATGTGACAGCTGTAGTATACTGAGTAGACATCGCGAGACAACAGAACGAGAAGTGGAATATATGGGAATATATGGCGTATGGGTGTGATTTGTGTAGTTAATAAAACAGTCAAAAGTAAATAGGAATATCTCTTTATTAACATATATAACCTTTATGGTGACAAGAATGGGATCACAACTTCAAGGTTGGTGATGTAGTGTTTGTGGCTGGTCTAGACAATGGTAAATTGGATGCCAAGTTCAAAGACACTTGCTATGTGTTATTGAGAAACACGTCTTGAAACTCTTTTGAGTTAGTGAATGTGGAAGATGGCTCAAAAATAATGAGAAATGTGAAACATCTTCGACACGCTCCTCCTTTGGATCTTGCTGTCCCCGAATCTACAGAAAAAGAAAATGCTGAGAATACTGGACTTTCTGACATGTAGGAAATGCAGCATTCTCAGACATGGGAGAGTACATCCAAAGGAGAGCCAGTAACTTTACCCAAAAGTGAAGTAACAACCAGACGTGGCAGGGTTATCTGGAAACCCGCTCACTACAGAGACACTTAAAAATAAAGGACTTGCATAGCCCTCCAAATGATAATTGGCCTATTTTGTTTGTAATTTATGTAGAAGTTACTTAGACTGCTATAAATTTAGAAGTGATGTAAGCAGAAATTGAACAAACATTTGAGTTGTTACACATAGATATTGTTGTTACAAGAATAAAAGAGGGTTGAATGTGTTGAACAGAAATGGAAGGTTTTATGTAAATGTTGTTGTAATAGATAATAATAGTTTCCTGTGTGTTGATATAGAATTGTTACAATTGTATGATAAAGTTATAAACTTTAAAAATAACAAAGGAGGGGATGTAGTATAGTGAGTAGACATCGTGAGACAACAGAATGAGAAATGGAAGGCGGGAATATATGGCATAAAGGTGTGATTTGTGTAGTTAATAAAACAGTCCAAAGAAAATAAGAATGTCTGTTTATTGACATACTCAACAACAGCTTCCCTAACCCACTTAAAACACCAAAAGAGAAAACAATACTGAATAACAACAACTGAAAAACTATAGCACCATGAAAAAGTATTACTTCCTGGTTTCCTCTATTATTGCATATTTGTCACACTGGATGTTTTCAGATCTTTAGACAAAATCTAAGAACAGATTAAGGGAACCTGAGGAAAAAAATAACACATTTTTATTATTTCATTTATGTAATAAACAAAGTTATCCAACACAAAGTAATACACTTAATAACTGGTTGTGCCACCTTTAGCTGCAATGAATGCAACCAAATGCTTCCTATAATTCAATATCAGTCTTTCACATCGCTGTGGAGGAATTTAAGCCCACTCTTTCTCACAGAGCTGCTTTAATTCAGAAACATCAGTAGTTTTCAAACATGAACTGCTTGTTTCAGGTCCTGCTACAGCATCTGTATTGGGTTTAGGTCTGGACATTGACTAGGCCACTCCAAAACTTTAATTTAGCATATTTTCAGCCATTCTGTTGTGGACTTCTTTTGTGTTTTGGAACATTGTCTTGATGCATGACCCAACTACATTTCAGCTCACGGACGGATGACTGTTCATTCTCTTTAAGAATTTTCTGATCCAGAGCAGAATTCATGGTTCCTTCAATTATGGCAAGTCGTCCAGGTCCAGAGACAGTAAAGCATCCCCACACCATCACACTACCACCACCATGTTTGACTGTTGGTATGATGTTCTTACTGAGGAATGCTGTGTTTGTTTTATGCCAGACATAATGGGACTCATGTTGTCCAAAAAGTTCCACTTTTGACTCATCTGTCCATAGCACATTCCCCATTGCTTCTTGGCAAATGAGAGACGAGCATTTTTGTTCTTCCTGGTTAGCAGTGGTTTCTGCCTTGCTACTCTCCCATGAAGGGCATTTTTGCCCAGTCTCTTTCTGATTGTGGAGTCATGAACACTGACCTTAGCTGAGGCAAGAGAAGCCCACAGTTCTTTGGATGTTTTTTTTAGGATCCTGTGTGACTTTCTGGATGATTTTACGCTGCGCCCTTGGAGACATTTTGACAGGTTGGCCACTCTGGGGAAGATTCACTACTGTTCCAAGTGTTCTCCATTTGGAGATTATGGCTCTCACTATGGTTCGCTCGAGTCCCAGAGCCTTAGAAATGGTTTTCTAAGGCTTTCCAAACAGATAGATATCAACAACTTTTTTTCTGATCTCTTCAGGAAATTCCTTTGATCATGGTATAATGTGCTTGTTGAATCTTTGTGCTGGCAACTTGACTCTAATGGTAAGGGTCAAAATACAGTAAATGAGGTTTATATTGAGCAGAGCTGTCTGTAATCAAGCCTGGCTGTGTTCAATCAGCTGACTTTAATCTCTTTAACTGGGTTGATTTAACTCGGGGGCAATTACTTTTTCACACAGTGCCTGTCGGTGTTGGATTGTTCATCAAATAAGTAAAAAAATAATTATTTGTTCACTCAGGATCCCTTTATCTTAAATTAGATTTTGGTTGAAGACCTGAAAACATTCAGTGTCAAAACTTTTCAATAACACTTTTTCATGGCACTATATGTCAGCATTACATAAAGGTCCACATAAAATGCAGTGACTTTATTTTGTCCATAAATGGTGATGGTATATAAACTTTAAACTAAACTCACCAGAAATAAAGTAAGAGCAGTAACATGCTAGACCTTGTTCAAATATGTTTGGCTTCTTCTGCCAAGTTCAAGAAAACTGACCAATGTGGATTATGTCAAGTTTGTCAGTATAGAACACAAAACACTATTTCTAGGTGCTATATTCAGTTTTATGTCAGCTTGAAGAATTATTTCTTGGTTTATATTGCGAAGCAGTTTAAATTGGCGGCCATGTGTGCTGTGATCATTATAAATTCCACATCCCACATGACTCCAATGGGCAAAATTTTTATGATTTGTATTCAATTCATTCCATACCATAAAATTGATTAGTGAAAAAAACTTATATAAAACAATTAACTGGAAATACAATTGAATGATATGTCCCACATCAATACGTGTAACTGTACTGTACAATGTAGTTTTCATTAAAACTAATTTTTACTGTCATAAGAATGTTGTGTGTCACAAGCTACTGTATTTTTCTTTGTTTGCATTAATATAAATATTATGTATTCACTGTGATGCGTTCGCAATGTCTCCATTATGGCCAAAGTTATGGTGTATTAAAGTTTTAAAGGTAAGCAGTAGTCTGGGACACATGACTCCTAAGAATTTAACTAGAATTTAGCTTTTTCACTGTTTGTTAGATATGTTTTTCATTCCATTTTTAAAACAACTTCCCCTGTCCCATCTTAATAATTCCCACCTTACCAAAAATACCTTCAACCCTGTAGATTTCATGGGTGACTAAAAAAATTTTACAGGCTAAAGACATTGGAAAAAGCGGTTGTTTAGAACAATTAATTTTATAATTGATCCAATTTAGTCATTCTGAGTTTACATGTAAAGGCTGAAATCATAAAGGATCAAGAGATGTGCTGAAGCTTGAGGTAAAAGAACTGTTTACTGCTTTTCTAAATGATTCAAATTAAATATGTGAAAAGGGAATTAGGGGAATACAATTATAAACAATGTTAAACAACAACAAACAATACAATTATATACAGTGCACCAGATCATGTTTTACATTTAATCAGTAAAGATTAAATTAGCGGAGTTTACCACTGCTATTGTTTATTTACACATGGAATTGAAGGATTACTAAAGATAAATATACAGTAGCAATTTTTTACAAGATCATCTACTTAATTTTCGAGTCATACATTACATGTGCTGCAACCAACAAATCTTTGAAATCTTTGATACTTGTAAAAGTCTTCTAATTACTTGCAAAACAAAGTAATCTATGTGTTTAACCAAAGTGCACTCCATATTTAAAGAACAAGAAAACAAGAAACCCCTTACACAATAATATTAGAACTATCCAATGATACTGTAAGGGTATTTAAGTGCTGGGTGTGCATCAAACTGGAATGTCCTGAATAGTTGAGGAGTTTAAATTAATAGCAGACCAGACATTTGAATCACAAATGTCTCACAAATATGCTAAGGGTAAGAAGAATGATGTACTGTACTGTTAGTGACCTCACAATAGTCAAGATTGTTTTTACATGTAAAAACAACATCCTCTGGCATTTTTCTATTCTTATTTTTTGTTGATATTATTCACCTTCCAAACTGGACAACCTCATGCTTTTATGGATCATTGTGGGTAGATGAAAAGCACCAATAGAAAAATGAGGGATGGAGGAAACTATTAGAATTATTATTTGCATTAACTTTGTTTTGAGGAGTCCTGAATCCCTGCAGATATCTGTGAACAGTTAGTGGAACCAATGATGGAATGTTTTGCAGCTGCAATTGCCCCTGGAGATGGATTAAACTGTTGTTTCAAAATTTTCAAAAATTTTGGGTAAAGAAGTACTGTATATATTGTTAATTTGTAAAATGTTGACAGTTTCAATAATCCTATTTTCTCTACTTCATTACATTTATTTTACTTGACTTTGTTTAGAAGGAAATTGACCTTTTTAACATTTTAAATATGACAAAATAATGAAAAATGTTGTTTATTCTATCTATGACTTTATAGTATTTATGAATCACACTTGCTATGTAAAGGATCAAATCTTCTATTATTGTAAGAAAGTATAAAGCTTTAGTACTTACATTTGAACTGGATTCACCTCCAGTGATGCAAACAACGTCTTGTTTCTGTATTGTTAATATCTCCTTTGTTAGCTTTAGTCGAATGTCATAAGTATTACCAGTCTCTTCATTATACAGCAGGGCTATTCCAGTTTTTGTCTGTTGGGTGAAACATAGTAAAAGAGTTTTGTAAGTACAAATAAAAGCAACTTGATTGAAAAATTAACTTTTCATACACAAATTAAATAGTTTAATATAGAAATCATGTTGATGAATTGAACATTATAATATTTTTTTGTCTTGTAGAGTGATTTTTACAGTGTAATTAAAAATGAAAAAAACTTCAGAGTTTTTCAGCTGGAAACAAAAATTGCTTTCTTCCACTCTACTTCATAATTGAATCCTGATCACCTACTGAAGGAAGCAAATTCTTTTGACACTGATCTTTCATTCATTGTGCTTTCCAACGATATACAGTAATATAGGAATATTTACAGTATATATCCAGCCTTTGCTAACCCTGATTTCAAGGGAATATCACTTAGTGTCAGCCTATCCTAGAGGCTGAGTACTTATCAAAGATGCACATCATCATATAGTACATGCCAATTACAATATTCATGTTCATTAAAGTTTTCGGTTATATGGTCTCATGACAAACTGGACATCACTGCAAACTGTCTCGTGACATTATACAATGGTGGAATCTACTGTTTCACAGCATGCACATGCACCCATTTTCAAAGCATTTAAGGCATTTAAATCCCTATTGTGTCTTTATGCTCCTAGTTTGTTTTAAAAGGGGTCCAATATGCATACTGGATGTGTGGGCAAACTCTGGTTTCTTGCCAACTCCCAGAGACCTGCATGTTCATGCACATTAGGTTTGATTGGTTTACTCTAAATTGTTCCCTAGGGAATTCCCCCTGTAAGGAAGGTGGATGATCTCTCCAGCACTCTACCTGTCTAAGAACAGAATCCCCTAAACCCTATCTAAAATAAATACGTACTGTATAAATAGATGAAAACAATGAACAAACATTTTGGAACATTTTTGAAGATCTGTTTTAACAAACATTCACTGTTAATCATAATACTGTAGATTCAATTTCATTCCACAACACCCAGTCTGAGAATTGTACCAACACCTATTGAGGTGATGAAAGCCATTATGGAAATGAACAACAGCAAAATGGCAGATAGTGATGGATTTTTTTTACGTACTGTAGGGCTAGGGTATGAACAACACCTAGACAGTTTGTAATTCATTTGCTGTGCTTAAGGATGCATCTGAAATGCAGGAAAAGTGTTATCTTTTTGTTTCCTCAAAAACGAAATTTGGCCAATTTTGCAATTGTTGCTGACCCAAGGGGTGCGTCAATCAAAAAGGTAAAAACTCAAAAGTTTATAACCACACTTTTCCCCTTGCAAAACATTCTCACTTTTTGCATTCACAGGAAAACAAAATGGGAAGTATAGCCAAAAGTTACTGAATATTGTAAGCCTAACCTGTCAACAGCAAAAAAACATTCTTATTTTACACGCCACCTATGCACGATGTTCCAAAAAACTAAAACAAAAACTGGAAAACTGATACAGATTCACAGCAAAAACATTTACAATATTTTATTACTACTTCTTAAATGCTACTTGAAATGTTTATGACTAGTGTGGAATAAGGTAGGTAAAATGATCTACGCTGGTGTTTAACGCAATGTTTATGATATACAGTATGTTCTAGAAAGACCCAAGCAAGGGTTAGGGTTAGGGTTTGAACAACACCTAGACAATTTGTGTTGCATTTGCTGTACTTAAGGAAGTATCTGAAATGCAGGAAAAGTGTTATCTTTTTGTTTCCTCAAAAACGAAATTGGGCCCAATTGTGCCGTTTTTGCAGACTCAATGTGTTTCAACAAATATGGTGAAAAATCAAAAGTTTGAAACCACACTTTCCACTTGCAAAACATTGTCAATTTTGGCATTGACAACCAAAGAAAACGGAAATTTTAGCCAAACGTTAGTGAATATTGTAATCGTTTCCTGTCAACAGCAAAAAACCTGCTTAGTTTACAAACCACTGAAGCATGACGTTCCAAAAAGAAACAAAATGCTCAAAAATTGAAACAGATTAATGGCAAAAACAGTTTTCTTCCAGTCCCCAAGAAGCTGGACATCCCACAAACCCAAGTTGACCTCCGTTTTTTGACCGTTGACCGTTTTTACCGCAGGATTAGGCTCAAAGCACATTTTGCTGACAGGTCCTCCTCACCGGTAGCAGACAACAACCTGGTCACTGATACCATCAATGATATTAATCCAAAACAGAGCTCTTGGACTCCCCCTTCCAGCCATTTTCCACCAGTTGATTACTTTATTAACCAATGTAACATTCAAGTTCCCAAGACCCTTTCCACACCCAGGAAACAAAGGTCTAACCTCACCCAAGTAGAAATTCAGGCACTCCAATCTCTCCGCAACAGGAATGATATTGTCATCAAACCAGCGGACAAAGGAGGAGCTGTTGTGGTGTGGCAAAAAGACATTTACATTTAGCCTAGCCTTAAGGAAGCCAGGAAGTCGGCTGGGTAGAAGAATGCTTCTTTGCTTCCTATACTGGCTTTGTCCCTGACCTCTACAAGCAATACATCGATGACTGCCGCAATGCTGCTACATGCTCTAATGACCAGCTAGAGCGCTTCCTGCATTAATTTACTAACTCTCACCTGTCCCTCAAATATTAAGTTAACATATCTTCCACCACTCTTCCGCTTCTATACATACATTTATCTATTAACCATCCCCGACTCTCTACCTCGGTCTATTACAAACCCACAGATTCACACGGCTATCTCCTGTACAGCTCTTTTCACCCCACTCACACCAAAAAATCTCTCTCTTTTTGACAGTTCTTCATGCTACATCTACTCTGCAGGGACGACATGGATTTCCAGAACCAAGAACTCAAAATGCATTCTTTTTTCATCAACAGAGGATACCCCACCCATATTATTGATAGGGCCTTCACCCAGGCCATAAAACAGTCCTCGGATCTTCAACTCGATCAGGAACTCCTGGTCTCACAACTGCATTCTTTTGGTGCTTCCCTACCAAACACACTTTCTACCCCAAGACCATTATTAACAATTACTCCATTTTACAGGATGATCCCTCAAATAGTACCCTTTTTTCTGATCACCCAATCATCTCTTACCTCCGACCACCCAAGGGTCAGAGCTCCCTTCACTGCACTCGGCAATCATCCCCACCAGGCACCTTCACTTGCAACAGAACTCGCTGCATCACCTGCAAATACATATCTAACAACACACTCATTCAGGGCCCCTCAGGTCAATTCCGGATCACCCAAAAGGCATCCTGTACTGTACATCAAGCAACCTCGTTTACTGTATCTCTTGCAAAACATGCCCAGCTTCTATGTTGGGGAAACCAGAAGGAGATTAGGAGACCACTTCAGAAAACATGTTAGGGCTGTGAAGATTAAAGATTTCTCCAAGCCCATAGTAGTTTCTCATTTCATCTCAGACGGACATGATCATACTGATCTCTCTGTACCTGTTCTCAAAGAAGGGTTTCTCAACTCCCATAGCAGAAATACTACAGAAACGAAACTCATCCTGAAACTAGGTTCACAGCTATCCCCTTCTCTCTATGATCAATTTATTTTTGTCACGATCGCAAACCCCTCCTCTCAAGGGCGTTCCAGCCCTACTTCGTTAGCCTCATTCCCTGCACCAGTTCCTTGTTTCAATTCGCCTTTAAAAGCCAGGCGCTCACTTCACTCGAGGCTCTGCATCTGATCTCCGCATTATGCGAGTCCTGGTTGTGCCTGTTTCCGTTATGTTTTTAGCTTCCTGCACCTGTTCCTGTTCCCCCCGCCGGTCCTGACCCAGCACCTGTTTTTAATCCCTGGTTTTTGGATGGATTACACGGCCATGGACCTTTGCTTTCGTTTTGGATTCTCCCTTTGGATTTCTTCTGAATTGTTTGCCTCGGCCACACCTCCCCGGTGCACCAGCGCACTTTGGACACGCCCCCCTATTTTCATTCCCATATTCCTGCATGACTTTTTCCCTAGTGTTTCCTCACAATTCTGGATTGTGTCATCCGCATAGGGTCCGGAAAGAACTGTTCTGTTACAATTTTCGTGTAATCTTTTCTATTCTCATGTCAGTATTGACTTCACACCTTTCTTTACCCTTCTCCACTTTGCACTTCATGAGTGGCCTCTCTGCCTCTCCCCTCCCCCAGGTTTTGTTCTTCTGTGCTATTTAATCTTTGCTGTCTACCCTGTCTTTCTCACAACCGAAGAAGGCTTCACAGCCGAAATAACATGGAATAAACCTATTACTTGTTCCTTTGCAGAATACATATGCTGACGCAGCTACCCACCTGAACTACTGTAGTTGTTTCCAACCCCAATTGTGGGTGTTTGTATTGTCTATAGGTTTTTCTTACCCTGCTGCTTTTAATTACCTACAGTATTTTTAAATAAGTGGCTTAACTGGATTAACATAATACATTCAAATGTGTTCAGCTGTTATTCATTCCTGGTCCTTTAGCCAACAGTAAGAAGTAAAGATCAAACATAATTCACAAACCATCACAAGAATGTTCCGTAGTACACAGTGAGAACTAAAATGTAATGTATATGGAAAGCTAGGTATTTATTTGTTATTCTACCTACTTGCAGTCTGGATCTCACAGTTAGATTTTTTTGTATTTTTTTTTCTGAGCTGATGCCTGACCTAAAAAAGGCTGGAACTTTAATTGACAAGTCCATGTGGCTATGCAGGACTATCCATCTGATCAACCAACATCAACCCTAGCATCCTGAAAAGCATGAATGTGGCACAAAGTGAGAGCTTTGTTGAATAATTTCCTGCCTGTGAAGTTGATATTTCTCAGACTTGCTGTACCTATTGAATTACCCATATACAGCATGTACAGTACATGTTTTTTAAAGATTTTTCGTTTTTTCCTCCTTCATTTTTCACTCAGTACTGCAGTGTTTGTAAAAGTTGGTCAACATTTTGTATTTAACCAGACAGTTTGGTTTGAAAAAGGTAAATGGAGGTGCTGTCACTTTTAAACTGCAAACACATCTTTTAAGCCTTGTTCTTTCAAGCTGAGATGATTTT